GTAAGGATGGTGCTGTGTGTTGGTAAGGATGGTGCTGTCTGTATGTGAGGATAGTCCTACCTGGAGGTACAGATGGTGTTTTCTGTAAGTAAGGATGGTGCTGTCTCTCTGTTTCTTTTTCTAATTAACTAATGTATCTCAGGAGTAACGGTTTAATTGGTCTTCAGTTTGAGAAGCTATGAGAAGCAGTAGTCTTTGATTGAAATTATCCTGTCTTTGGTTTATTCAAAAATGCAAGTGATAGATTGTTTAATGGAAAAGTTAGCATTATCCGCAGCAGAAGCATAACCGGAAATTATAGGAAAGTGCAATGATAATTATGAAAGTGTCTTTGATAGACTTTTGAAAGAGATAATGGAAGGAACAAATGAATTAGGAATTGTTCAGAATAAGTTAGCCTATGCTACCCATTTGTGTGCTTTACAGTTGGGATAAAGAAGCTGGAAAGCTGCTGGAATTTCAAATGAGGTGCAGGGTAGAAATGATTACCAACAGGAAAGCATAGTACTTGTTATGTGTTATATGCAGAAAAGGCTACAGGTCTACCCAACATTGATATTGAAACTAATGATGAACTGGACTTCTCCTTTGAAAAAGCAAAGATCAAGACATGCCAGACAGAAATCTGTGAACAGGCAACAGCCTGGGACTGTTATTTTGCAAGACAGGTAACCATGAGAATGTAACTAACAGCACTTTCCTCACTGTTCCATCCCTGTGTAGTGAAATAAAGTAAGTACTTAATGTCATCCAGGAGCCAGAAGGGATGGATAAAGGGTTCTGACACTTAGGCATAGTTGGAGAAGACATCAAAAAGTTCCTTTCCCCCAGTGAAGTTAAGGAAGTCCTCAGTGAACATTGGACAGTGTTGACAGAGAGTTCCCATGACAGTTATAAGGAGAGCATCCTTTATGTACTTTTGTTTGTAAGAAAGACCAAACAAGCAAAATTTGGTAATGCTGAAACCGCACAGTGATAATGTTTGTTTGTGTCTTTTAAAGCTATCATGAAAACATGCTTCTTTCTTTTCTTTTTGTTTTAGAATTAGACGGTAAGGCTTCTCCAGAGTTCATGAATCAGTTATAATGGTAATTAATGGAGGCCACACTTAGAATAAAGAATAGTGACAGGGAAAGGGAGACATAAATCAAATGGAAATGGGAATGACTCACCTTGGCTGTAGTTAAATGGAATGTATCCAATGAAATCAAAATTTAGATAGAATTCAATAATTGCCAGCTTTCTCTTGGAGATGTGAACTTTTGCCCATGTGATGTTTGCTTAAAGGAGACTGAAGTAGATGATTTTACCATCAACCAGAACTTTGGGACTAGACAAGGAGAATACATGGGCACCCTCCACCGACTTTTGATCTTTCGAAAAGATCAACAGAAAGTCAAGAATTTATGGCATGATCTTGGGACACTGATGTAAGTGTGCAGAGGGGGTCGTTATATCTGAAGTAACTAACATGCAGGAATGCATGGCAAAAATGTACGGAAGAACAAATCTCAGACATGTACACCCCGACTTGACAAAATGGCAAGTGTGGCTTGGAAGAACACAAAAAATGATAAGACACTGACACATAATCCATGGAGAAACTGACTTTAAAACAATGAATGTGGTATTGATGAGAAGGTGGTAAAAATTACAATTGGAGACCAAAGGGGGAAAGTACTGAAGAAATCCACAAGTTGGGTAAAAGTGAAGGAAAAGCTGGAGAATCTTTTAAGGCCGTGCATAACCTGTCACCAACTCGACATAAGCCAATCTTATCACATGTATAATCAGCTTGTGACTATTGAACAACTGAGAGGTTGAGTTCTTCATTGGAGCCTCAGCTGGCACTGGAATTGAACCCTATTGGCATCAATCTGTATTTCAAACCAGTTGTCAAGCCAACTGTGCTAACCAACAATGGATGGCATGAGGCTAACTTCAGATTTTTATTCAATTCAAATTTCACCATTTGACCACAGGAGGATTCAAACTTAAGTATCCAGACCATGAGCCTGGGTTTTCGATAACTAGCTGAGTGGCATTGGCTCCATGCCACTGTCTCCCCAGAGGTTTAAATATGTCGTTTAAATCTTTTTTCAAGTTTTGATTTTGATCTTTATGTCACATGTATTTTACAGTAAGAATACAACAAAATACAGTGAAAAACTTTCGTTTGTCACCTTGAAATGGTGCCATTTTGAATAATGTAGGATAAGGATAAAAAGGAAATAAAAGGTATAGTTGAAGAGAGAGTAGCAGTCCAGAGCCAGGTCATCATTGTCAATGACGCCTGCACCGCCATGTCTCCGCCACCACTTCATCACCATCTTTATTGGAGACAACCAACATTGAGATCACTGATCCCAGGCACCATCCTTTGCTGCTGGGCCTACCTCACTGATGTCACCTTTCCTGATGTAGCAGTCACCGATTCCAGGTCCTGTGCTTGCTCCTGAGAACCAAGTAGGGGCTCATTGTCCTCTGTGCTGGGTCTGGTTGAGGTTATATAACTGCAATGATGTCATTCTCATTTTTATTCACCTCATTCAGTTATAATGTTGTTGTTACTAAACATGTGTCTGTGAGGTTCTTTGATGATCAGGGATATTAGGGATTGTATCTATTGAAAGGAGCATTTAAAAAATCCAAGCATCAATCCTACAATTACGGTAGGCAGGTCTTCCACAGTGCATTGGATTCAGGTAATCTTTGGGAGGTCAGAGGATGACAACCCTGGGAATCGACTAACAGCCCCAGCGATCAGTACTAAAAACCAAAGATCATGTTGGTTCTGAGTAAGCCTGGCAATTAGATGCTTCTGCGTGTGTTGATCAGAAAAAAGTTGATTATAATTCTTGTGGCATTCTCAGCTCCAAAATGAGGGGACAGGTTGAGAAGGTGGGACCTTCACAGTGACCTCAGCCAGTGTGAGAATCGAACCTGCATTGTTGTTGCCATAAACTAGCCATCCAGCCAACTAATTGTTCAATTCTTCCAATTCTATGCTCAGTTGCATGTGGGACAGGGAAAGCCCTGACATTTCTTGGTGTCCCATCCTTCAATCTCTTACCCAGCTGCCTGAAATGTGCTTTCAGGACCTCATCACTATTCCTACCTCAGTCAAAGGGACCAACACAGACCAGGAGTTCTGGTAGTTCACCCTCACCAAGAAGAATGCCATCACATCGTTTACCCTGGCATCAGAGAGACAATATATTGTCTTGGAGTCACATCGATGGCCACAGAAACACCTGCCTGATCCCCATCTATGGAATCCCCTATCATTATTACTCTTTCCTTCTTCTATCTTCTCTCTATGCAGCTGAGATACCTGTGGTGCCACCATCTTGGCTGAGGCTGCATTCCCCTGAGGAGCCTTCACCCTCACCAGTAACCAAAAGATGATACTGAATACCGAGCAAGGTAGAATCGGGGGATTCCTGCAATACTTGCGTTTTTTTTAGACTTCCTGTTAGACACCCATTTCCTGTATACCTGTACATTTCTAACCTGCAATGTGAACACAACCCTAAGCGTGCTTTCCATGTAGCTCTCTGCCTTGCAGATGTATAACAGTGACTCCAGCTGCTGCACAAGTTCTGATACTTGGAGTTCAACCGTATGCATCCAGTTACTCATCCTGCAGATGTGTTTGTCTGGGAAACAAGCAGCATGGTGGCTCAGTTGTTAGCACTGCTGCCTCACAGCTCCAAGGACCCGGGTTTGATTCCACCCTCAGGCGACTGTCTGTGTGGAGTTTGCACATTCTCCCCGTGTCTGTGTGGGTTTCCTCTGGGTGCTCCGGTTTCCTTCCACAGTCCAAAGATGTGCAGGCTAGGTGGATTGGCCATGCTAAATTGCCCATAGTGTCCAGGGATGTGTAGATTAGGTGGGTTATAAGGGATGGGTCTCGGCGGGATGCTCTGAGGGGTTGGTGTGAACTTGTTGGGCCGAAGGGCCTGTTTCTGCACTGTAGGGATTCTATGATTACATACTGTAACCATGACTTAATTCTACCACAAGTACATTCCACTTGGCTGAGCTGACTTGTCACTTTAAAATTACTTAATATGGTTAAAATAGTAAAAGAATTACCAGTATTCCCCAAAGACATTCTTCCCCTGTACCAACTAGTAGGCTGAAAATTATAGAAGGGGAAAACCTTTTTAGCCCTCACACCCCCACTTCCACCCAAACAGCTTCTAACTTAACAAAATCCCATTTTAAATTCTGTACAAACAAGGCAGCACTCAGAGCCCACAAGGCAGCACCAAGAGAGGTCGCTATTTATACTTCCTGAAAATAACTAATTCAATCTTCTAAAAAAAACAGATTAAACCAGCTGCTAATTAACT